TTTTTTTTTTTGTTCCAAACCGCCCCCCTCTGTCCATGCAGGCCTAAACATAGAAAGCAAGCAAAAAATAAAAACGCTCATTCCAAAAAATTTTAAAGATCTCATAACATTGAACAACAAAGGGAAAATTAAAATTCTATATGACTCTTTAATTTCCTACAAAAATGAACATGGTCTTATATTGCTCATATTGCTGTCATTAATATATATTTTTTACCAAGCCTTCCCGTTATTTTTATGGTGGATGACAGGAACGGGTACTATCATAACTATATTAATTGGGGCGTTTTACAATTATGCGTTCTCCATATTTTATTGTTCCCTACTTTCCACAATTTCTCCCCTAGTGACATATCTTATTTTTAAGAATTATGGACGTACAGTAATAGAATATTTTTTTAGGAAGCCACTTACCAAATTTGATGAGCAGATAAAGAAAAGAGTTAAGAGTAAATTTGATTTGTTTTTCTACATTGCCATTTTAAGGTTAACTCCTGTATTTCCCAATGCGTTGATAAACATTTTGGTAGCGTCTCTCTCCCTTCCTGCGATCCCCTTTTCGTTGGCCACGTACATAGGGCTCATGCCCAACACCATTATCCTGGGTAAGTGCACACGTGCGAAATTGTCTCTATGCATGCGTTGCCCGTACATAGGTGACCCTTCTTGGGGTTTATCTATCCCTCGCTCGGCCACATACGCGTGCGTGTCTTTGTGCCACGTTGGGAACATCGGTTTGGTTTGCCTCTATGTCCGTATGAATCGGATTCTCCCGTATGCTCATAACGTTCCGCTATCCATTTATTTTTTTTTTTTTTTTTTGTTGCAAATGGAGAAGGGGTTATAAAAATGACGTCATTGTGTGGAAGAAGCATCACCGCGACGCAGTTGCACATTCGTTATGTCACAGATTGGGGATACGTATCGGGGTCTATAAGGAGGGATAAACGTTTTCCCGTGTGTCCTCACGTACGTGTACTTGGCGTAAAGGCCCAGTTGAGAGGGCCACTTCGCAACTCCAATAAAGGAGACCAAATAGGCGCACGACTATATGACCTCTCTGTAACTCCTTTCGGCAAAAGAATATGCAGTGAGGGTGAGGAAAGGACACACAGGGGTGAATTTCCCCCCTATTGGTTATTACCCTTAATTTTTTATCTTTTAATTTTTTAAGTGCCATGCAAAAATGCTGTTAAGACTACTTTACCCCTTAAGTACTTTTTATGTTGAATCAGACGGCCAAAAGGGGGTTGAGAGAGATGTGTAACGGGACGTTTCACTGCGTGTAGTCACACGAGATGTAACTTTTCCACGGGACATCCACCTGTATAAGCACGCATATTAGCATGTGGCCATGTGTACAAGTGACTACATGCACACAGGGTTACCCAGTAGTTCCCCTTTGTAAAACATCTTGCAAAAAAAAAAAAAAAAAAAACACCGCATCATTTTGTGACTCCCCCGTTTTTAGCAAACAAACCGGCTACTTAATTTCCACGCGCGCTGGAAAGAAAAGAAAAAAATAAAAATAAATAAAAAAAATAAATGAAATAGGAAATATAATAAAAAACGTTGCATGAAAAATGAGGGGTTACAAAATGGGAGAAAAGAAAATGATAAACGGGTATACCGATTTTTTTTTTTTTTATGAAAAAGGCATGACGCCGCATTAAAAAATGAAATGCTGCAGTGGACTACAAATGGAGCGCAGCAAACATGAAGGACCTCGCGGGAAGTAATTTGTTTCGGCCTTGTATTACATACAGGCATGTATGCATATATTAATACAAATATGCGTATACAATTTTACCTAACACGTGTGACATGCGTGGCGTTTGCGCGGGATTGGCCAAGTTGGGCGCAGTAAAAAAAGCCTTGCAACAAACCCGCAACTTGTTTGCCATTTTTGCCATTTCTGCCATTTCTGCATTCGTTGAATTGCCCATGGTTTTGTGGCATTCACCTCCGTCGCAGTTTTTGTGACTTCCAAAACTGCGCCTTTTTGTGCCTATATGTGGATTATTTTTCCACATGATTGTATTTTCTACGTGACTGTTATTTCCACTTGGCTGGTACTGTGTTTGCACGTAACTACTACCCTCATCCTTTTGACGTACTTACCACAGTTGACGGCTTTTTACCCATTTGACTGTTTTTTTTTTTTTCCGTTTGCCATTTCGCCACGTGAAGCTTTTTGTAAAAGTGGAGATGCGCAATTTTTTTTAAGGTTCCCTTTTTATTTCTTTTAATTCGTCTGCATAAGTTTGAGCGCCTTTCCCCCCTACCCAAAAAGTGTTTAACACCCCGCTTGCAGATCTGCTTGGGGAGCGCATTTTTATTAGCCCACGCACCCCCCCTGTATGCGACCGTTACATACATATACATTTACAGTGAAAAGCGGAAAAAGGGCTACAAAGGGGATATAAAGGGGCTACCTATTTTTAATAGCGGGCCAGGAAGAGAAGCAGTGGAGAAGCAGAGGACCGGACCCCAAACCGCCCTTCCCCTTCTGCTTCACCCGGGCGAACAAACATGAGCGAGTCCAGCGTGGAGGGAAACGAACTGTTCAACTCTGACGATGAGGAAGTGAAGGAAGGGGACAGTTCCCCCCAGGACGGGGAGCATGAGGAGGAGCAAACTGCAGAGGACGCTGATAATGCTGATAACGGTTCTGATGACCAGGTTAATGACCCCGCCGAAGGGGGAGCGCGCAGGAAGAGGAAAAAGGAAGACAAACACACATCTGCGTATGTGGATAACGAAGCGGAGGATGATGATGAGGAGGAGGAAGATGAAGACGAAGGAGACGACGAGGATGACGATGCAGACTACAGAGAAAGAAAGGCAAGCAGCAAGGGCGGAAGTGGGCTGAAAAAAAGGAAGCTATCAAAGAAGAGGTACATGTCGACCTTCCTGGATACAGAGGCGCAAGTGGGTGACGATGAGGAAGAGGAGTACGCCAGCTCGTACGTAGATGAGTTCGAAGAAGCCAAAAGGTTGGAAAAAAAAAAAATGTATGAAATGAAGCTGAAGAGTGGGACAAACCACTTAGCGCAAACTATTAACAAACTATCACAACGGTATGAAAATGAAAAGGAAATTAAGGATACCGTTACTGATGGGGAGACGCTAACAGATGAGGATATGTCTGGAGATGAGGATGAATATTTCGATGAAGGAGAATGTTTGACCACGTTTGACAGCCCCAAAATGTGGCTCATAAAGTTGTTCAAAAATGGAGCAGAGAGAAATATAGCCATGGGAATCTACTACAAGTACATGAAGTTAAAAGATAACGACTTTAATATTAAGGGGGTGTATGTCTCGGACAATCTGAAAGGATACGTATATGTCGAGGCGGATAGTCTGTACATGTTAAAAAGGTTTCTCTTGGGATTCAAATTTATTAACCTAAATGAGATTACCATTGTACCAGTGCAAGAGTTAACGTCAATTTTCTCGATGTGTCACTCCAAAGTCATCATCCCCAAGGTAAATGAATACGTTCGAATTAAAAGAGGAGTATACATGAATGATATAGGGCAAATATTTGAGGTACATGAAAAGGGCATTTATGCCATCGTCAGGTTAATCCCAAGAATCGAATATGACAAGTATAACCATTTTAAGAAAGGCAACTCCCACGTAAATTTGACTCCCTCTGCTATGAATAAGGGAGGACCTTCTGCCATGTTCGATGAACACAGTGGGAAGAATGAATCCTATTACTTGGGGGATAAGTTAGAATTGAATAATCACAACAAGGCCATCATGTCCACAGGGTTGATGATGGGAGGGAGGGATGTGAAGAATGCTCCAACAGCAAATGAACAATTGGAAATGTTAGATGAAGCACTCCAAATTAGGAGGAAGAAAAAGAAAGAAAGGCCATTAAAAAAATTATTCGATCGAGAAGAAATTGAACAAATAGGAGGAGTCATTGAACATGGACCTTACCCAAGAACAATCAAATATCAAAATAATATTTTTGAAGAAAATGGCTACCTGTTAAAAAAAATGAACATAAAATATCTCATATCTGAAAATGCTAATATTACCTTAACGGAAATTAGAGACTTCAACAAAAATAACACCAATGAGGAGGATATCACCTTACATGTGAGCAAATCTTTTATTAATAAAAATTCGTTACACCTATTCAAAAAAGGGGAAAGGGTCAAAATTATGAAAGGAGAATTATACAACCTTATAGGAACCATAACAAATGTAAGTGATAATGTATTAACGATAAATCCGGATAATTTAGCCAAAAATTTTAAGTACCTTCCAAGTGATGTGACAAAATATTTCCTCGAGGGAGATAATGTAACCGTTATCAATGGAATTCATAAAGGCAAAAGTGGACTCATTTCATTACTCGATTATAAAGAAAATGTTGCTCTTATTTTTTCTCCCTCTTTGAATACCGAATTTCGTTCTTCTATTCAAGACCTCTCTGCCTGTGAGCATAGCAGCAGTGAAGGACTCGGTGGGATTAACTCCCTTAACGGGTTCTCCATTGGGGACCTCATAGAATTGAGTGATAGACAAATCGGCATACTAACATACATTGACAAGAACAAACACATTAGAGTATTAACAAGTCATAACAAAACTTTGCACACCACAATTGGAGCCATCACTTCCAAGAGGTCAGCTGTTGGCCAAGTGTGCAAAGATGAAAATGGAAATATCATTCAGGCGAAAGATGTTATACAGGTCGTCCGAGGGATCCATAAGAATAAAGTTGCTGTGGTAAATTATATTTGGAAAAATAAAGTGTTTGCTAAAATTAACAAAAAGATTGAGGATAATGGGTTTGTTGTCCTGGACAGTGAGAATTGCATACTCACGGGAAACCAAAATGAAAAGAAAAAAATTGTCACTCATAATAATCTGTTCAGATCGAACAGCAGTATGCTCCCCAGAAGGAATAATCCTTACCAATCCTTCATTGGAAAAACCGTGAAAATATTAAGTGGCGTTTATAAAGGCCTCCTTGGAGACGTCATAGATGCAGAACGGGACGAGTTTACTCTCCTATTGAAAATCAAGCCAAAAACCATAAGGCAGAAAAAAACTGAATGCGCCATTGCGGACTCGTTTAAGGATCATTACAACTTTACCGATGATAGGTATTATAACGAACGGGACAGGAACGGGCTAGGGGGGGCACTCGGTGGGGAGTGCATGGATACATCCCCGAGGTGGAGAAACAGAAGTGACAGAAGCCCCAGGCATGACCGCGTCGGGTACGAGTCTTCTCTCCACGGCGAAAGCGTGAGGAAGGGTGCTGACTGGCACAGAAACGAGTTCGGGGGACGACACAGGAGCGCGTACAGTGGCACGTACAGCGGCAACTACGATGAGGAACGCTGGAGGGGAAGTCACCGCCCGCCTGAGGGGGACGGCCCCGGCCACGACCCAGGCGCGAGCGCTTCTTCCCATACCGGGCCGTGGAATCAACCGAACGGGTGGAAAGGGACGAATAGCAACCACCCGCCCCCTCCACTGCCCCACAACAGAAATGAAGGCGGCGGGGGATTTCGAGTGGAGAACGATGCGCTTCGTCCACACGATCAGAAAAGCTTCCAAGGAAATTGGGGCAGGACGTCACACGAAAATCACCCACACAGTAACACCAGTTATAATTACAATCACAATGGGCGACCAAGTGATTCGATTAATTTTAACGAGCCACATAAAAGGGGAGAAGGAATGAATGAGGATGGCAAAAAAAGTGCCACCAGAAATAATAACACGGCAGAAGAATTCATCAATGGACAGTATGAAACAGGACCTGGCGGAAAACACAGCACCTCCTCCAAGGGGCTAGGAAAATGGGATGATGCTCAAGGCACAGGTGGCATCAATGGAGGGGTCAGCAACTCTGGCTTTGCCAATGCTTCTACTTTCTTCGACACACATCGAGATAAGAACAATGAAAGGAAGGAATGTCCACTTTGGTTAGTCAAAGGCATTATGATAAAGGTTATAACCCCGGGCCCTTTTTATAACGAAATTGGGACAGTCACAGATGTGATGAAGAAGAGCTTGTACACCATACTAAAAATAGCAACCGAGAAAACGTCCTTTAGCATTGTGTCCGATGCTGTGATTCCTTTGAAACCAAACAGAATAAGCGACGAAGTGCTCGTTGTGGATGAGGGCAAGGTCGTCGAGGGTACTGTTCATGATATACAGAATGACGACATCCAGGTGAATACAGAACAGGGCATAATTACTTACAAAATGAAAAGTGTTTTTTTGTTTAAAAAGCAGTGCCCGTGATGGCGTTGAAAACGGGTTAAAATGCACACCTCGTGTACGCTGCGCGATCGCAGCGAGCCTATATGCACGTGCGAGGCCTAGTGTGTATATACATATACCCACTGCAACCCTGTCACTTGTGCCATGCTGAACTTATATACGGTTCAAAAGACAATGGTTCTTTTTGTTTCCCCCCCAATTTGTACAAATTATTTCGCTATCGTTTTTTTTTTTTTTTTTTTTTTAAAAAAGAAAGCGTTAATTCAAGTGCAGTTAGTGAACTGTGCATTTTGTGTACTTTAAAAAATAAAATGATAAAGGACAGAATTGCATGGCTCAATTGTGCGCAGGTTGTTCAAGTGGCTCACTGGCGCGGGCGCTACACGGAAGCAGCACAGCTGCCATCGCCGCTTCCCCACCTCTATGGGTGCACGTGCGCCTTTATAAAGGCCAACACCTTCAAAACGATATTCTCCGGCGTGAAGCCCAGGTGTTCCCATATTTTGTTCTTCGGGGCCGAGTAGCCAAACTGGTTGATGCCCAGGTAGACATTGAAGTATGTGTCGAACCCGTGGGTAGAAGCAGGCTCTATGTAAAATCTAACAACCTTGGGGTCGTGGTGCATTAACACAGATTGTTGGTATTCCTGCGACTGCTGTTTGAATAAATTCCATGATGGGAAACTTACAATGCGAACATTTAAATTATGCTCCTTGGTTAGAATATTTTTTGCATCGAAGCAGAGATGCAACTCCGAACCGCATCCAGCCAAAATGACCTTCTGCTTATCATTCGAGTTGTCAAAATCTTCCAAAATGTAGGCCCCTTTTAGGACCTGTTCTGCTGAGGTGCCCTTCAAGTGAGGCACTTTATTTCTGCACAGGGCAACAACGGTAGGAGTTTTCAGATTTTTAAAGTGGCACAAATAAGCACCTGATACTTCATTCCCGTCTGCTGGCCTAATTACATTCAAATTGGGAGTAGCTCTAAGTAAGGACAACACTTCAATAGGTTGATGTGTCGGTCCATCTTCCCCCAATTCGACTGAGTCATGGGTCGCTATACAAAAAATGTGATATTGGGATAATGCGGCTAATCTTAAAGCACCAAATGCGTAGGTATAGAAATTCAGAAAAGTTGCACAAAAGGGTTCGAATCCCCCATAAGCATATATCCCATTAGTGATGGCCACCATCCCATGTTCCCTTACTCCATATCGTATGTATTTATTTGCAAAAGAATCTTTGGTGATGTCTTTTTCTTCCTTTAAAGCCGTGCAATTAGACTCTGTCAAGTCTGCACTTCCACCTATCAACTCGGGTAAAATCTTATTAACACAGTTTAAAACAACCCCTGATAAATTTCTAGTGGCCGCAGGTACATCCGAAGGGGTATACTTGGGTAAAACTTCGACCCAATTGTGAGGAAGCTCTTGGGAAAATCTCCTAATAATTTCTTGTGCCTTTTCTGGGTACTTGACTGTAAAATCTGAAAACATTTTTTTCCACTGGAGATAATTTTCTTTTTTTTTCTGTATAATATTTTCATAAAACTTTTTTACATCTTCTGAAATGTGAAATTCCTTTTCTGGGTCTAAACCAAAAAATTCTTTCGTTTTCTTTAAATCATCTGCCTTCAATGCTAATCCATGAGATTTACATGTCCCTTCCACCTTCGTCCCATACCCACAAGATGTTTGTACAATAATTAATGAAGGCTGCTTGGTATTTTTTTTCGCTTCCTCAATTTGTTTCAATATACCTTCAAAGTCTGTATTCCCATTGGGTACTTTTCTCACTTCCCAATTTAAAGCTTCAAATTTCTTTTCTATATTTTCTGTGAAGGATAACTGCGTGTTTCCATCAATGGTTATTTTATTATCATCATATAAAAGGATTAATCTTCCTAATCCGAGGTGTCCAGCAAGGGAAGCGGCTTCACAAAATACTCCCTCTTGCATGCAGCCATCACCACATATGGCATATATATAATTATTAAAAATGGGAAATTCCTTTGTGTTGTATTTTTCAGCTAAGTTATGTGCACAAATGGCCATCCCAACTGCGTTTGATGCTCCTTGTCCCAGTGGCCCCGTTGTTACTTCCACTCCTTTGGTGATGTGTTTCTCTGGGTGACCTGGGGTTAGACTTTCTAACTGCCTGAAGTTCTTCAAATCTTCCATGGTTAGTCCTTGCTTGGTCAAATACAACATGGTGTACAAGAGTGCACTGGCGTGTCCGTTCGAGAGGATAAACCTATCCCGGTTCATCCAGTTCGTGTCCTCATTGTAGTAGTTCATTACGTAGGCCCACAAAATGTGTGCTATGGGCGCACACCCGATGGGCGCTCCCTGGTGCCCACTGTTGGCTTTCAGCGGCAGCTCCGCCGACAACACACGAATTTCGTTGATGCATTTCTGGTCAATTGCGCCGTTCATTTTGCTGGGGGTGCTCGGTTGGAAAGGGGGGTTGGCTCGCTTCAACAAATGTTCCGCTTCGGCGGCTCGAATGCTTCTCCTCTTTCGTGCTGTTACCGCTTTCACCGAACGTCAGGTAAACGTTTCGATAGTTTTGAAAAAAAAATGCAAATAGTCGTAAATATTTTTTGCTTTGTATCTTATATCCTCACACGTGTTGCTCTGCAATTCTCTGCGGAAACAAAAATAGGGGGATTTAAAAAAAATTTACAAACAGGTATATACATATATATGCTATATATGTTTGCTTGGTGTTGCGCAAATGGGCACATGCACGTTATAGTTTTGCTCTCTCCATGTGAAAAAAGAAAGCAGCATGTAATTCATTTTTTTTTTTTTTTTGCGTTACATGCGCGGAGCATAACGACATACTGACGTTGTGCTACGTAAAATATACATATTTGCCTACTTACACATCCGTTATGAGCAAATGCAGAATGTATGATGAAACGAAAGGAACAAATAAAAATGCAAAGTCATAAAAAATTGTTAAGGTAAAAAGTGATAAAAAAAAAAAAAAACACCTTGCAGGGTCAGGTGAAAAAAAAGCAAATTAAGGAACTCAAAAATAAAATAAAGCCCAAAGTGGAAGCGAAACGGAAAACAAAAAGTAGCGATGCGAAGAGAAGCAAAAAACGCCGAATAATGATGCAAAATAAAAATACAAAACTGAACGACACAACCCCAGCGGCGTACGACTATATCATACTTACATGCAAAACCGTACTCTCACATGCAAGTATAGGTCCGAATGTACTTTTTTTTTTTTGTTTTGAACCTTCGTGGTTTGCGCTTGTAGGAGCTGAGGGTGCGTGCGCAAGTGTCATTTGCCCAAGTGCACCGTTGTGCGCGTGGAAAAAAAAAAAAAAAAAAAAAAAAAAAAAAAAAAAAAAGGGAAGAATATGCAGGAAAAAAAATGCAAATAAAAAAGGAAGCAAAATTAGGGCATGAAACAAACTTATCACCCCCTATGTGGTGGCTACGTCGAGCGCCTAACTACACGCTGCGTATGTCGGAGAAATTTCCAGGCGATGTGGGTCTATACCCAACTGTGCGTGGAAAACGGGAGGTAGCACATGCAAACACGGTGCGTAAAATGAAACAGGAGTGTGGCCAAACGGACGTGGAGGAAATTTCCATGTGGTTTTTCTTTTGCTTAGTTTTGTTATCTTTCCATCTCTTTTTTTTTTTTTGTTTTTTTTTTTTTTATTATTATTTCCTGTCGCACATTACATTTTTATGTGGCTTCCAGATATGTTCACATGCTTGTACATTTCATTTTGCTTTAAAGACTCATCGCTTGATAAGCACTTGTACAAAATATTGCTGTGGTTTTCGGATAGGCAATTTACTTCGATAATGCTGCACAGTGTGTGGGAGGGGGGGAAAAGAAGATCAAGAAGCGGTTTGTGCATTCATGCTTTTGTATTTTCCGCTAGGACTAGCGCAACACATGTATGCCACACAGGTGTTTTACAAATGTCCGTACACGTCGAGCAACATGGGCAGGGGGGGTGTTTTGCATCCCCCCTCAGTTCTCGTGTGGGGCTCTCTCCATTTTTACTGCGTAATGAGTTGATGTGTCCCAGCCATGATAATAAAAGTTTCTCGCGCGCTCGGTAAAAGAATTGCAAAAATAGGAGTACAGGAAACCTTGCGTGGAGTGGTAGCGGAGAGGGTAGTTCGCCAAACCCTAAGAAAAGCGCGTCAATAGGCCATACGCATCCGTTTGTACGTGTAAGCGGATATCCTTATTCACCATTGTGGCTGTTCGCATGGACGAGTGTACACGCCGTCATGTATGCATTTTAAACAAATGAGAAAAGAAAAGGTAGTAGTTACGCAAAAGCTTAATTTTCAATTTTAAAAAAAAAAAAAAAAAAAAAAAATGTGAGACGTCCCAACGTGGAAATACAATTTAAACTCAGCGAAACGTTACAATTCTATTTCTCCCCTTTTTGATTATCTACACCTTAGAGCAATTTTAGCACGTCCAGATTTTCTCTTTGTTTTTTTTTTTTTTTTATTTTAGTTGTTACATACACATGGGGGGTCACTCATCAGAATTGACATGGGGTCCATTCGATGCATTTTAACGTTGTATAAATTTTTTTATGCATTCGAAAGGCGCGTCATGCACAGGGTAACGCAGGTTGAAAGAATTGTGCAAATCCCTTCCGATTGCTGACCTCGCACAGGTATAAAAGAAAAATATAAAAAGAGTGCCCATTTTTGCTATTCCTTTTTAAAACACCTGAGGCGCACCTGAGTGAGGCCAGTATACATTAGTATATAGTGTAAGTCCTATTGCTCTGTTTGAAGGGGCTCTCCCGCCATTTACTAGTGACCCCTTTAATAATGACCCATTTGAGTGAAAAACACACAGCCAAATGGAATATGCACACGAAAGAAGAAAAGGAACGAAGAATAATAATAGAGGGTAAAATGCATGTACCTCCTTGTGCATGTTTATATTTGCCTCATTGATAAAGTTAAAGGGGGGGGGATCGTCCCAAGGGGATGCATATTTGTCACCTGCGCTGGTTAGAATATTCCTCACGTGGGGATACGTAGTATAGCACCCATTTTAGGAGGAAAAAATTGCCCCCAATTCTGTTCTCACTTGAAGGTTCAACTTTGGTATGTTCGTAAACTGGTCGTTCTTTGTTGTGTGGTGACACACCCAGTGGTGGTGCGTGCGTAGAATCATCACTCCTATGCACAACGCCCCGTTTATCATCATATGTGGAACTTGTACACGGAGGTGTCCCTCCCTTTGTAGTGGTTCATGTTAATAAGGAAGCAGATGCACCACGACTTCCGCCAGGGTGATCACATTACCCACCTGGAGACAAAAGACTGGCACATATAATGAAAATATGGTTGGGAAATTTTTCGAGGGGGTCAGCAAATTTACAACGCGTTTCTTCCACTAATATGTTAGCTCCTTTCTTTGAGGAGAAAACATGTAAACTGTTCTACCCATCGTGTTATCATTTCGCGTCTTCCTTGCCATTCTTCTTTACCCCCATGAAGTTTGAAGTAGGGGTAGTTACAAAAGGAGAACGTTTAGCAGCTTTCCAAACAGCTGTGTAGAAGCAAACCTCCGTTTGTGTGTAGTGGGAGTTTATACGAATATACACACATGGTTGGGTCAATGCCCAGTAGGCAAAGGAAAGAAGCAATGTTGGGGGGTTACCCAGCGGGCCACTTTTTATGGGTTGTACAGAAGGGAGATTACACATCTGCCCTGAATGACTGATGTAGGACGGGTACATTAATTAAAAGTGAAAGATACATGGCGAAGGTGACAACACCGCTGTACGCGGCCTGTTCCCAATTGGCGTTGTGATCAAATCTGCTTTGGGCACATATAGGAGAGCGTGTGTGGTTAATCTGGCCCCTCCAACTCCCCGTTGTGTAGAGCAAATGGGAAGAAGCGAAGGGAGTGAGGGCGCGTTCAGTAGAGGCGCTTTTCAGAGAACAACAAACGGAATTTCGACCAAGGGACTTGTGTGCACATGTAAAAAACCCATTTCTACGTGCCCTTTTTCGCAACGACGTAATTTTTTTCTGGGATAGAATTCGCCTGACGTGTTCAGAATTTTATTTCTTCCACACAAAAACTGTATAAACGTGGTAAACAAAAGAGAAGCAGTTCTACCCCCTCGATTGCTCTCTCCTTCTGTAACTGCCTACGCCAAATGAAATCCTCCCATCCTCCCCCTTTTTTGTGTGTTTGCAATTCACCTATTTAAGTGGAGCCACTCACAAAAAAACTATCACGCAGTCAGTAAGGCAAAGCTTCTGCTTGGACCCTTCGCACAGTCCACATCAGGCCCACTCCGCTGGCTCTTTGCTCATTCGACGTTTCTGCCATCCCAAAGGCAAATATAAACAAGTAGGATTAAAAAAAAAAAAAAAAAAAAAAAGGAGAACAAAATAAAACTTCCCCACAGAATCCAATGCAGGAAAACCCAATCGTCCAGTACATTTTGGTGAACAAAGAAATCTTGGATAAGAAATGGCCGCTGGGGTCTGTCATAGCCCAGGCATGTCATGCATGGTGAGTTTTACACACAAGTGGGATAACGTTTTCTGGGGTGGTTTCAAAAAAAGTATCTCCGCTTATGTTCAGTGCTAGCCAGGATGCTTTGTTTTGTTGTGCCGCCAACAGTATGTGTATACTTGCGGAGGTCTACAGTGAAGAAGGCTGCATGCTTACGTTGTTGCCCACTTAACCTGCACACGTTTTCGCTCATGAACCACAAAAACACATGTCAGATGCTTGTACTCCCCCCCGCGTTCCCTAACAGCGTCGCCGTTATTGCCGAAAATCAGGAAGACCAAGTGGTGAAGGAGTACCTTTGTGCGGAAAAAATAAACAACATGCACAAGGTTATCTTACGGATTGAAGACACAAATGAAATAAAAAATCTTTCGAGCATTTTAGAGGGCGCATGCTTGAAGTACAAAATTTGGACGGAGTTCCCGGAAAACATACAAACAGCTGTGGCATTGAAACCCTATTATAAAGACACGGTCAAGGAGTATTTGAAGAAATATCCTTTGCTACGTAAGCTGTGATGGTGTGAAGAACTCTGGGGAGGGGATGGGGAGGACATGGCAGAGTTGTATACCCGCATACAACTTGCCCAATTTTCGAGAGCGTCCACTGGCGTTTTATCACCATCATGAGCTTGTCTTTGACCGTTGCGCATGGGGGAAAACAGATCCACCACACTTTTTTTTTTTTTTTTTTTTTTTTTACACCATAAGTGAATGTGCAAACTGCGAATTTTTGTTTTTTTACGAACGGAGAAACAGCCTCGAAAAGGACAGTTCCCAATTTTGAAGTTTATCCAAGATATGGTAATGGCTTCTAGTGAAGCCTTAAAAATTTGCAAAAAAAAAAAAACTAAAATTGTACATGTAAAACGAATGCTATAATGAGAAAAAAAACAGGGTAGCAGGGTTGGATGTACATGATGTGCCTGCATATATATATATATTTTATATATATGCACACGTGTGTGGGACGCGGATGCGGGGGTTCACCAGAGATGTCCCCCAACGTATCGCACGGGGACCCACAAGCGTCGGAGTTCGCACAGACGGGCGCATAAACGCACGTGTACGCTCACATACGCCGACACGCAGGCACACACTTGTCCGGTGAGTACCCATTTTATAAAAAAAAAAAAAAATAAAACCAATAGGCACTAAAGCAGTTCTGGTCTGAGGGTTTCTCTTGTTGAAGTTCTACACACGCTTAAGATCTTTCTCCACGAATACGTCTGGCTAGTTGTATGTCCTTTGGCATGATGGTAACTCTCTTTGCGTGAATGGCACACAAGTTGGTATCTTCGAAGAGTCCAACCAAGTAGGCTTCTGCTGCTTCTTGGAGAGCCATGACTGCAGATGACTGAAAGCGCAAGTCGGTTTTGTAGTCCTGTGCAATTTCTCTCACCAATCTCTGGAATGGCAATTTTCTAATTAAAAGGTCAGTGGACTTTTGGTATCTTCTAATTTCTCTCAAGGCGACAGTTCCTGGTCTATATCTGTGGGGTTTTTTAATACCCGAAGAAATTGGAGCTGACTTTCTCGCTGCCTTGGAGGCTAACTGCTTTCTGGGGGCCTTACCGGCGGTTGATTTCCTTGCTGTTTGTTTTGTTCGTGCCATTTTTTCAAGTAAATAATAAGTTTAGTTCAGCGAAAAAAAAAAAAAAGTATGCGTGTATGAATTAGTATACGAGTGAGTATATGCTATAAATGCTTGGGCGTGTGTGTGTTTTAAATAAATGAAAATAAAAATAAAATAAATCTCGAATATTTTAAAACGTATATATGTATATGTCAAAAGGATGGTTAAAAAAAAAAAAAAAAAAAAAAATTTCGCACTGAACAAAAAAAAAAAGAAGAGTATATATATATGCGTATATATGATGTATCCCAATTTATGGTGAGCGTTTTGG